TTGTGCTTAGTAGAAGAATTGTGTTGTGCACTATATTTTAGGAAGAAAAAAAATAATACCGGAGCTCAAGCGAAGATAGAAGAGGTTAGTGTAAGTATTTAGAATAATACGGCCGGAAGCATCGGACATTATTCCTATGGAATAATGGCCATGGCTTCAATATTGAGGATCCTCATAATTCAAAAAGGGTGGAAATATGGTTTTTCTTTTATGGTTTTTGAATATTTGGGGAAATTTAGGGGTACATGGATATACATATGGGAGCACCTCTAGGATGGAGGTATGGATCGAAGGGAATAATAGATTCGACTACTCGTGGGACAGAATGGGAAAAACAGGACCAAAGAAAACTAGATGTAAAGAAAAACCTTTTGAGGTAAAATTTGAAATATGGTGGGAAGATGATAAAAATGTGACATGGGAATATCTAAAGCCAAAAGATTTGGAACAGCAATGGAGGTATTTGTACATACTAAGGGAGAAAGGTCACCTAATGTTTCGATTTAGTTATGATGAGAACAATCTGAATATGAGTACTATGAACTGTACCTTTTGGGTTTTGATGTAGTCACCCTAGATGTGACTAATGAACAAGAATTGGCTAATAATCATATGGAATTGAATGAGTCAATGGCTCTTAAATTATGGGAATATGGTGTAATGGCAAATCCTTCCATAATGATAAGACTGAGTTGCTTTAGGAAAATTAAGGGGGAATATATTTTGAGGAATATGGTCAGGTTTTTTATGTTTATTAATCAGATATCAGTAAACAAGATTGCACCAAGAATCATGGCAGATGAGCACCCATATAGGAGGGGAGAAGTAATCGAAGCCCCAACTATTGTGGATCAAACAATCTGGTTGGAAGGAGCACAAGTAAATATAACTGCACAATATCTGGAGCGTATGCCATATGCCTTGCCTCTATTACAAGCGTGGCAACAACAATGGGGAGACGGGACTATACGAAATAAGAGGTATAGGAGAATATATCATAGGTAGTATTGGTGCTGGAGCTGGAGTTTTAAACCCATTTGATATTGAGACTTACAAGGGAAAATGTCAGCTTTGGGTAAGATTTTGTGGGCTATACAGACACACGTGACACAAAATTTTGGTGCATTATCGGAATAAGGAATAAGAAGTGTGGAACTCCAATTGAAACAAGTCCAAGCCTTGAAAATGTCTCTAAATGTAAATCTATTTGGTGTGTCTGAGATTGACAATCAAACTGTACTAGCAATATGATGCGTACAGGTGCAAACTTATGGGATACAATACATAGAGAGAATGGTTAATCTGTTAAGTCATGGGCAATGGTCTTTTGAATGGTTCAAAGATCCTCATATATGGAATCAACGAATGGCAGGATGGAAGAAATATATGGAGTTTAATTGGGATCAAGCCACTCTGAGGGGAGAGTGGAAAGGCAGAATGTTGTTACACAACAGAGGGAAGCAAAGAAAAGCAGCAATGGCCTGGGTGTTGCCAAAAATTATTAATGAAGAGTTATGGCAAATAGAAATAAGTGCGATACACTTGATTTAAGAAGAAGGGGATTATAAATTAGTAGAATTAACAAGAATTAACCCGCTCCAGGCCAATGGGGGCTGCGGGAAGCGGCGCGGGCCGAGGGATGTGCTGGCTGCCGCTTCCCGCAGCCCCCATTGGCCTGGAGTGGCGAATCGTGGCCAGTGGGAACTGTGATCAGCCAAACCTGCGGACATGGCAGGTAAACAAACTGGCCCCACCCATCACGGGGCTTACTCTGGCGGGCCGCGTGCCAAAGGTTGCCGATCCCTGAGCTAGTGTATGTAAGTCTACCTGAACTGGGAATTACACCTCTCAGCTCTTGTTCAGATGTACCCTAAGAAAGCTTAGAGGTGTTAGATAGCACAGCAACGAGACATACTGCATAGTCAATGATACTAGACTGCACTAGCTCTGCTACATTATCTAGTGCTGATGTGTAACAAATTCGCCGTCTCACAGTTCTGGCATACATAACAACAAATTTACAATGGAGCTGAAATTGCGATAGTTTTGCTGCACATTTTCTGCATTAGCATTGTTACATTGCACTCCATATTCTTCATAGTTGTATGATTATGACATAATTATGATGCACTTTGTACAAGATGGGTCAAGTAAGGTGTCATTGGAAAAGTTCTGATTTGCTGAATATGATTATCCTATTTGCATTCATGTATCATTTTTGTATCTGAAGTCATAAATATTGACTATGGATCTGTATTTCAAGTGGGCTTACTTTGGAAAACACCCACAGCCAGCCTTTCAGGTACAACAATGAAGAAGCCAGACAGTGCTAATAGTTGATCAACAAAGACAATGGGCTGTGGAATAACTTAGCCTTCCTGAGAGCCAGACAGCCTGTAAGTAATGGCTGCTATGACTCTGCAAGGGATGTAACCAGACCACATGATTCTGGACTCCTGTATTTTTCCACAAACTGGTCTGGGAACCAAGTTTGAAACAAAAGGTTCCTGCCATTTGAAAAAGCTATATAAGGCAGGGAGTGAAATCATTGGTTGTTCTTCACTCCCCCACAACCGAACACCTAAGCGAAGCTCCAAAAGAAAAGGACTTGGAACGGGGGTGGGGATCCCAAGCTGCAAAGGAAGTGCAGCTTGTGCCTTGAGAATCTGCAAGCCTGCTTGTGTCATCAACCAGGGTGAGAGATTGTTAATTCAAATCCTATCCTTCTAGTATATTAAGCTGAGTTTACCTAGCAAATAAACAAAAACGCAATCTGCTTTGATCTTTTTGCTATCACTTAATCACTTAAAATCGATCTTTTGTAGTTAATAAACTTGTTTTATGCTTTATCTAAACCAGTAAGATTGGAGTGAAGTGCTTGGAAATCTTAACTCAAGAGGCAGGGGCTGTTGCGTTTCCTCTCCACATTGAGGGAGGGGCGAACTTTATGAGCTTACTTTGTACAAATCTCTGTGCAGTGTTGGATTCATACTCCGGGGGGGTCGGGGTGGAGGGTGCGTGCCTGGGGAGCTGGGAAATTGGCTCGTGTCTGCTGGTTGCACTCAGATTTGTGTGAGTGGCGCCACCTGCTGTCGTGTTGGGTGATAACAGGGCCTGGGTGAGGCTGGCTGTGTCCCCAAAGCATTGTGAGCAGGGCCAGTCCAGCTGTGTGTCTTAGAGAGGCACAGTGGGCTCTCACAGCTCCCAGACTGCACCCCGTCACAAGCATCTCAAGCCTACTCACACAGTGATGGGAAGTACATATTTATTTTCTAGCTCCAAATTTTAAAAAGTTGCAAATATTTCACTTAGACACGTCTGGTTCCCCCAGTGTGGCTGACCCCAGGGCCAGCTGCTCAGGCCCTAAGTCCTGGGGCTGCCCCCGGCAGCTGGTGCCACTGCCCTCCTCCAAGCAGCGGCCCCCCACCCCCTCCCCAGCAGTGGTCCCAGAGGCAGCCAGAGCAGCTGCTGCTCGGCAGCCCCCAGCACCTGGTGCCACTGGCCCCATCTCGCCAAGCAGTAGCTCCTTATTGCCTGCGACCTGTCCATGACTTTTACTAAAAATACCCATGACTAAATAAATCATAGCTGATGATTTATTAGTAATGGCTACTGGCTACTATTCCTGCTAATGTCCTGCAGTAGCAGTGCTGGCGCACTTCCACACTGGCTACTGCAAGATGGGGCTGATGATTCTCAGCCCTTCCCCTGTGTGTTGGAGCAGACAGCTTAAATCTGGATGTGTTTCCTTTTCCTGAATTTACTCACAAGATACAAAAAGTCGTGTTGCTTTAAAACTGATAGCTGAAACTGGATTAGTTTCTGAGTACTTTCATGGTTCCTACTGGTTTCCATTACAGGCAACTACAAGGGGAAAATGTGACCAAATATATCTAAATATGAGCTTTTAAGGGGAAAACACTGATACTATTCAGACATGTGAGAATGTTTTCCTTTAAGAAGCTGTCAAATCAACACACAGAGATCTATTCTTCCTTCAGTATGCCACATAACCCCAAAACTGTGTGCGGTAGTTATATGTATAACTGGGAGAGAGAAAGCATATGTTTTATCTCCAGTTTTGTTTTCAGTTTATAGAATATTTCATATAAAACCAGTTCATTTCTTATCACATGTATATGTACGAGGCATGCTGTGAATTCTGTTAAATGTTCTCCATCTCTCTCACTTATAAAGATGTTCCTTCACAAGAGGCTTTTTATATTACTGAAATGAAAATGCTTATTCTCACACTTCTGTTATACCCCCATCAGATATTTGTATTTTCCATGAGCTGTGCTCACAGCATTGCCTACTTGTGGCAGTTAGGAGCACTGCGGGCTTTTATATATTAGGGCCAGACTACACTACCCGCCCGGATCAGCGGGTAGAAATCGATCTCTCGGGGATCGATTTATCGCGTCTCATCTAGATGGATAAATCGATCCCCGAATCAACGCGCATACTCCCACCTCGTCAGGAGGAGTAAGCACCGTCAACGGGGGAGCCGCGGCGGTCGATTTGCCGCCATCCTCAGAGCGGGATAAGTCGAATAGGATACGTCAAATTCAGCTACGCTATTCGCATAGCTGAATTTGCGTATCTTAAATTGCTCCCCCCCCCCCAGTGTAGACCTAGCCTTAGATAGAGATAGATTTAATCAAGCTTTGAGATATATAGATAGATAATCTAATTATTCAACAGTGACTCGTGGAAAGCTCCTTCACAGTTCTGAGTTCCCCCAGAGGGCAAATTTGTGGCAGCTGCAAGCTTTGAGAAAATACCAAGAATAAATCTGTGGTTTCTTACAAATAGGAACCTTTCTACATAGCAGCCCAAGTCAATCCTCTGCAGTGAAACTGTAAAATTATTTTTTCAACCATTTAACAAGTGCTGATTTCATTTATTTTCATCCTAATGTCTGTAAAGCCAACTTTACATATAATGACTTAAATAATCAACTCGATGATATAGTTTTCAGGAACCATAATGATACTTACTGCATCTACAAGGTTTACCACAGATTTTGCAAAGTTGTTTGTGTACACATGGGAAGAACGATGTTTTTTGAACTAAAAGAAAAAATTAAAAAAAAATTAGAACTTGAATAATTACTGGAGTTAGATTTGTTTCAGCAAATGTGGAAAATGAATAATCTTAACACATGCTAAGAGAGAAATCACAAAAAATGGTCTTTCCAGATCACAGCATGCCTCCTAAAGTCTATGCTTCTGTGGAATTAAATGAAAGCCTGTGCCAGGCTCAATAACATTTAACATGTACACATACAAAATATTTTAGTAAAAACTGTTCAGCCATAAAACAGTCTCTTAAAACTTTAAGAGTTTAAACAGTCAAATTTTTAAAAAGACATAATTGGGGCTAACGTGAGTTTTTCTAGAGCTCAAACTTATAAATGAGAGCTCAGAACTGGCCCCTAATTGTCACGTTTAAACCATTTAACTACCATTCACCACTGACAGTGCCCCACAACCTGAACTCTGACACCAAGAAGATGCCACCCTCTAATTGTCATTTTACATACAACTCTTTACCAACCTATCCTTTCACAATATATCCTACTACCGCACCAAACATCCACAACTACTAGGGTCGGGTATGCGTAGAAGGGTGAAAAGGGGGCAGAGTTAAGCTTGCAGTGCTTTATCTGTGTTAAGATAATGGTGAGTGAGTGTTTGAGGGTAGAGAAATAGAGACTAGGTATTGTTAGATGGCTTAACTTTTCATTTTCTTTCTTTTTGTGGATATATGTTGCATGTGTAGCAGACGTAACTGTTTCTGAAGTTTTTTGTGTATTATAATAAATGTGCATGTGACTTTCTGTATATTGTCTATCAATCCCCTCTGCCAACAAGTCAAACTTGCCAAAGATGATTGAGACTCAACAAAATTGTAAAGTTACAATTGTATTTCACAATATGATCTGCAAAAAAGGAAAATTTGTGTCTTCAAAATGTCATGGACAATGAACTCAAAATCTGCACAAAACAAACTAGCTAAAACTTTTCCATGAAAAAGTTCTCATCAATTTCAGCCAATCCTGCTTACTAGCAACAGGTCTTGCTACTAAAGAGTCATATTATGAGGTTCCCCAAAAGGTCTTATCTACCCTCATTCTAAAGCATAGTAGACTTGATGTGAGACAAGAGGGTTCATGTGCCAAACTCTAAGCAACTGAGTTAGTACTCACATGCTTAAAGTCAGGCTCATGCTTAAATACCATCCCGAATCAGGGCGAGTAAAACGAAGACTCCCTGGACTCTAACAGACATGCCTGGAGCCCCTTACAGAAGGAAATTTAAAAATTACAACTATTTAATAGTTTTATCTAAACAGCCAGTTACTTTACCTGTCAAACTAAATATTATAGAAATAATCTCTCAAAGCTGCTACATCACATTAAATTGGTAAACTGTATACCAATTTTTCTTTTCATTCAGACTGATGCTATTTTTGTCTCATGCAAGTCATTCAGTTAAATACAGATGAAATGCATAGAGATGGTGGATTTCACCCTATCAGCCTTGACTCAAATAGCAGCTACAGCCCATCCACTCCAGTTGCACAAGGTGATAAGCCATTTGATTTGTGTATTCACTGATCCCATTCCCCCCTCCTGTGGCCTACTGGAACACCACCTTCCTCAGTGGCCTATGCACAGCCAGTGCTGGGATCCCCTCTTCCCACACCACATAGGGTTGGCAGGGGACTCTACCTGTGCAATTGCTCTTTTAGCAAATCACCTCATGCAGCACCAACATGGGGCTTAAATGGTATACACCAACACCATTAAAGTAGATTTTGAGGTTTTTCCTTAGGGAACCCTTTGGTACTAGTATATATTTTATCCTTAACAAGTTGAAAGAATTTTCTGGAAGTGGAAAGTGAAAACAGTATTCTTGTGTTTCATTCTTCATTAAAATATTTGAATACAGAGAGCTATACTAACAGTATAAAATACCAGAGAAGTTCCAGAAATAGAAACTAAGATGAATATAACTGTCTAAAAATAAGGAATGGAAATAATGCATTTACTTGGGTCTTCATTGTTATGAGTGAAAGTTTTAGGAAAATATGAAAAGCGAGTTAAAACATTAAACAATTATCAATACTTGATAGATTTCAATGTCAGAAACACTGTGTAAGAGGATTTTTTCAAAGTAAAATCTTACTGCAGGAGAAATCTGCCCTCTACTGGTAAGCAAAACTCATAAGTATATGCTTATAAGTTCTGGGTAGTACAACCCTTACCCACATTGGTGAACACTTACAAGTAGCCTAATTTGACATTTTCATATCAAAAATGGCATTACCTGTTTCTGAGTCACCGATGACTCGGAAGCAAATGATTTTGAATGCTTATGGATCGATGTTCTAACAAATAAAGCACAAGATGGGGTACTAGCTGGTGTCTGTTACAGTTCACCAAATCACACTAGAGAACGGTATGACTGGCTCCCTTAAGAATCTATCTTATAATGTGTAAGGAATAAAATGTGTTAATATGGGGGATTCAATCTGAGTGACATGTTCTGGACTTCTCATGCTGCCAGTAGTAAAACATCCTTGGAATTTTTAAATATTATAGATGACAATTTCCTAATTCAAAAAGTGTCACTTCTAACAAAATGGAATTATATATAAGACCTTATCTTGACAGATAAAGAGGAATTAATCACAGATCTAAAAAATTAGTAGCCGTGTAGGTCCAAGTGCTCAAGGCTTGATTACATCTGTTATGTGCAAACAGAATATACGTCAAACCAGTCATATGGATACTTGGTGCTTTTAAAAGGCCAATTTCTCTAAGCTGAAAACAATTATAAGCTGAATCAGCTGGAAGAAATAATTTAAAAAGAAAAATCTGAACAATAATTAGGAAATGTTTAAGAATATTTTACTAGATGCTCAAAAAAACTAACAATTCCACAATTGAGAAAGAAGGCTATACTGGTATTTAAAACAAACAAACAAACAAAAACCTTGCTTAGCAATGAAGTGAAAGCAGCAGTCAAAAATAAAAAAAACATAGAAATGGAAAAAATAATTAATATGAATTAGAAGCTAGAGCTGTAGAAAATTGGTAAAAGAAGCAAAAGGACACAAGGAGAAATCTATGGCCAGCAGAGTTACGGACAATAAGCTGTAGTTTTTTTAATGTATTTCTAGAACAAAAGGAACCCTAACGACGGTACTGGTCAGCTACTAGATAGACGCAGCAAAATTGTCCATAATAATGCAGAAAAGGCAGAAGTGTTCAATACATACTTTTGTTCATTTAGCTTTTTTCAAAATACAGATAATGTTACAGAGCCCCCACCTTTGGATCGACACCGGGTCTGAAGGCAAAAGTTTTTGCAGATGCAATACCTGTCTTTCCTGTGGCTTTCCCCCAGGCACTTGAGACAACTGTCATGTGGATCACTGATTAGCATCGGCCTGCTACATGCCGAACACGACTTTAAGCCTCTCAGGGCAAAGTCCCAAAAGGGACTCTACTAACTAACTTAACACTATCAACTAACTACTATGAACTACATACAACAATCAGTAGAACGAAGTCTATGCGAAAGGCTATGAAGAAACCGCTAGTGCTCTTGCAAGGCAAGGCAAGGTACTCCAATCAACCATCAAGGAACTGAGAGGGCGTAGGGCTGGCGGTGCCTGATATACCGCCGCATGAGCGTGGCACTCCAGAGAGTGCCACAGCCGGCCAGCCCTACAGATACCGCTAAGGCATAAATCTCCAACAACTGTGCATGTGAGCATGCACACACACCTAAAATGGAATTGACATGAGCAAGCACTCAAAGAAGAATAGTGAATTCTATCCTGGGAAGCAACAACTCTGAAAAAAAGACTTAGGGGTCATGATGGATAATTAGCTGAACATGAACTCTTAGTACAAAGCAATGGCTAAAGGGGCTAATGAGATCCTTGGATGTATAAACAGGGAAATATCAACTAAGAGCAGAGAAGTTATATTACTTCTGTATCTGGCACTGCCGCAACCAATACTGAAATACTGTGTCCAGTTCTGGTGTCCACACTTCATGAAGGATGTTGAAAAATAGGAGAAGGTTCAGAGAACAGCAACAAGAATGATATAAAGGATTGGAAAACATTCCTTAGAATGAGAGATTCAAAGAACTCATTCTATTTAACTTATCAAAGAGAGGATAAAGGGTTGACTTGATCACAGTCCGTAAGTATCTTTGTGAGGAGCAGAAATTTGATAAGGGAGAGCTCTTAATCTAGCAAAGGTATAACAAGTTCTAATGGCTGGAAACTGAAGGTAGACAAATTCAGATGAGAAACAAGGCACAAACTTAACAAGGATTGTGGAGGATGCTCCTTTACTGGCAATTTTTAAATCAAGATTGGAGTCTAAGAGATATGCTCTAGTTCAAGCACAGCTATTGGACTTAAGGAATTAATTCAGGGAAGTCCTATGGCCCGCATTATTAAAAAACACCATTATTAAAATAACAGCAAGAGGACTAAAAAAGTGCCACCATGGCTAAGCAGAGGGAAAGAAGTGGTTAGAGCCAAAAAAGAATCCTCTAAAAACAGGAAGCCATATCATATTGAGGAAAATAGAAAGGAGAATAAACTCTGGCAAGTCAAGTGTAAACATATAATTAGGCAGGCCAAAAAAGAATTTGAAGAGCAAATAGTAAAAGACACAAAAACCGATAGCAACAATTTTTTTAAGTCCATCAGAAGTAGGAACACTGCCAAACAATCAGTGGGGCCACTAGATGATCAAGGGGCTGAAGGAGCACTCAAGGAAGACAAGACCATTGCGGAGAAGCTAAATCAATTCTTTGAATCAGTCTTCACTCCATAGGATGTGAGGGAGATCCCCACATCTGCGCCATTCTTTTTAGGTGACAGATATGAGGAACTGTCCCAGACTGAGGTGTCAATAGAGGACGTTTTAGAACAAATTGATAAATAGGTCCCCAGGACCAGATGGTATTCATCCAAGAGTTCTAAAGGAACTCAAATATGGAACTGCAGAACTACTTACTGAGTTACGTAACCTATTGCTTAAATCAGCCTCTGTACCTCTGGAAAATGGGGTAAACAGTGAGATGACAAAATCTGCAGATGATACAAAATTATACAAAATAGTTAAGTCCAAAACTAACTTTAAAGAATTACAAAAGGAGCTCACTAAACTGAGTGACTGGGCAACAAAATGGTAGATGAAAATCAATGTTGATAAGTGCAAAGTAATGCACATTTGAAAAAATAATCCGAACTATACATACAAAATGATGGGGTCTAAATTAGCTGTTACCACTCAAGAAACAGATCTTGGAGTCTTCATGGATAGTTCTCTGAAAATATCTGCTCAATGTCCAGCGGCAGTCAAACAAGCAAAACAAATGTAAGGAAAGGGATAGATAAGAAGATAGAAAATAGAATGCCAATAGATAAATCCAGGATACACCCACACCTTGATTACTGCATGCAGTTCTGGCTTCCCTAACTCAAAAAGATATATTAGAATTGCAACAGGTACAGAGAAGGACTACAAAAATGATTGGGTATGCAACAGTTTCTATGTGAAGTGCTTAAAAAGATTGGGACTGTTCATCTTAGAAAAGAGACGACTAAGGGGGGATATGATAGATGTGTATAAAATCAGGAATGGTGTGGAGAAAATGAATAAGTGTTATTTACATAAACAGACGAACCAGGGGTCACCCAATGAAATTAATAGGCAGCAGGTTTAAAACAAATATACAGTAAACCTGTGGAACTTGTTGCCAAGAAATGTAGCAAAGGCCAAAAGTATAAATTGATTAAAAAAAAAGAATCAGATAATCTCATGGAGGATAGGACCATCAATGGCTATTGGCCAAGATGGTCAGGGTTACTATCCTATGCTCTGGGTGTCCCTAAACCTCTGAATGCCAGAAGCTGGACTGGATGACAATGGATCACTTGATAACTGCCCTGTTCTGTTCATTCCCTCTGAAGCATCTAGCACTGGCCTCTGTCGGAAACAGGATAATGGGCTAGATGGACAAGTGGTCTGACCCAGTATAGCCATTCTTATGTTCTTATTATTCAGGATGTCAGACGAGATGATTGCAACAGTTCCTTCTGGCCTGAAAATCTAAGAATATAGTAAAGAATCTATGAATCGGCATCAAGGAAATTACTCACATGGATTAAGTGTTCGCCAATGTAAGGGTTACATATTCTAGCCCTTCAAATTTAAAGGGTAAATATTGTACATTCACAAATGCTTCTTTTAGAGCTACTTCTACAATCTACTCTACAAACAAAAAATTCTGCAGTGTGTATCAGAGAGTGAAATTTTCCCTTTAGATGTATTGCACGTCTTCACTATTTTAAATATATTTTTCTAGTCAAAAAACAAGAGTTTGTAATGCATCTAAAGAATTAAGAAACATCTGGTAGGAGACAATTCTGACATTCTTATATTTGTGTTAAATCGGGAGACTGGACAAAAAGAACGAGACAAAGTACAGAGAGAGAGAGAGAGAGAGATTGGCAGAATACTTGTACTCTTAGTCCACGTTATAGACCTAAGCACATTTCTTTGGCACTCAAATATTTTGGTTAGGCTCTTGCTACCAACAGGTGGCACTTCAATATCCCTGTCTTGTATTATTGAGCTATTATCCAATTATTTAAAAAAATAACACGTAAACCTCATTTCTTCTGAAACTAAAGTGCTTGAAAAGATATGTACCTACAGGCACATATACAGTAGACGTGTAACATTAAAAAAATAAACTGGATAAATAATTTGAGCTTGTAAACCAGGTCAACAGAAATTTTCAATACAGTCTTGTAAAAAAAATCTGCACACTTGTTCCCTTCTAAACATCTACATTTTACATAATGCTGAGGCGCAAATCAAGCCCACCTACTGAACAACATGCAGCAGGGCCAAAGTTAAGGGGAAAACTCCATAGTCTTGAGGCTACAGGAATTCTACTACATAATGTGCTGGTGTGGGGAGTAGATGGGTAGGTTTTGAGGCCCCATGTGGTAGTCGGGGGCATGGTCTATTCAACCCATGGGTAACCTGAGATTTGGGGAATTTCCCTGGGCACCCCACAATATCTGTTGAGAGGCCTAGTACTCCTATACTACTCCCCAGGCGCCGCCTTTCTGATTTAATCTGCTGAACAGGCAGGGTGCTGACATTTTGATAACCCTATCTTACTTGGCACAATTAATGAAAGCAGTAACATTTAAATAGCAAATGTCAGCTGATCTAGTTTCTTTAATATCTCCTCAAGGAAAAGAAGAAATCAGAGCAGAATTCTTTGTAAATGTAACACATTTTGCTTAATCCAATGGCAAGATTTATTGTTTAGTTCACTACCCTGCCTATTTATAAGCATGGATTTACCAGGAAGAAGAAAAAAAAAAAGAGAGAGATAGCTTCACATGCATATCTTACTGCCCAAATAGCAAAGCTTTTTACTCTAAATTGTGTCCTACCAGTCTCAGCCTGTTTCTTTAATCCTTAAAAGATGGAATTTAATTTTTAAATTCTAACAGTACTGCCACTTAACAGTTAAATATATGTTAACATACATCTTATCTATATATATACAAACACACACACATATATACAACACTAATAATACATATTAAAACACTAATATAAATAATATATATTAATTTGGTAATGTTTGTAAAGTACTTTAAGTATTCAAAGTGCTGTCTAAAATGCTCGGTATTATAAACTACTATGGGCCACACTGTGTCTTTCAGCTTAGCACTAGCAAGGGGTAGCCCCGGGGGTACAGTACCTCAGACACACTCCTCAGAACCGTGTCACCCTATTCCTGTCTTGCTCTGTGGGGAGAAGTAAATTTCTATACCCCTTAAAAGGATGTAATTTATTTTCCCCATTGCACATAGCTACCTTATCTTGCTACCAAGGAAGGGTATAGATCCTCTCTCCACACCCAAAAATCTGTGCCAGAGAGTGAGGTACTCAGATATAGAAACTTAGACAGTCAGGTATGGACCACCTTCTGAATCAGATTACAAGGAAGATTGCCACTGAATCTATATCCTTACCATTTTATGGTCATTGACAATCATGAGCTCTAGATATTTCATCTCTTCAAATATACCACGAGATGCCTGTTGGATTTAAAAATACATTGTGAGAAATGACAGTGTGATGGTAATTTTTAAAAATAACTCTGCAGCTGGCCTAGGTATCTGGTAGCAGTGGAAGAGCCAAGTTTGTATCGCTCACTGGCTTCAACGGGACTACTCACATAAATGTTACTCGAAGTGAATAAGTTTGCCAGAATTGAGAAAGCTCTTCAACTAGTGTAAATCGGGATAGCTCCATTAACTTCAATGGAGTTACATGGATTTACATCAGCTGAGGATCTGGACCATTTCATTTAGAATAAATTCAGATCCAAACCTCTTTGTCCAATGTTTTCAGAAAAGGCTATTGTTTCCATAGAACTTAGCGTTTAGAAAGACCCAGAAAACAACATATCCTTTGTTCCATTGCGATATTTACTAGATCTAGGAAAAAAGTGATTTTTTAAAAATAGGTACGGTTTGAAACCCCACCCATTGTGCTGTATGATCCCAGGAGAAAGCTGATCTCAAATAGACAAATGGGTACAAATTAATATTAATGAAAGCTAAAACAAGCCACAAGCACATGTATGTAGACAAAATGAAGTCCAAACTGATGAATCTAAACTAGTTATAATGTGTATTGCAGACTGTGAGAACTGTCCATATTTTTTTTCCCTAAACAACCCAATTTTGGATCACAAATTTGTTACTTTTGGCTTTGGCCATGCTACTTCATGAGCCATGTGACCATACGAGAGGGCATCTATACAGTAGTCAGACTTCATCCAGGGGTGTTCTCTGTCCACAATAGTATCAGACCTTAATGATCACTGAAATTTTAATCACACTTTCACTATCAAATTTCTGTTCAAACTGTACATGGTATTGCTGTCATTATATAAACTATATCTATTTTATTCTGTAGATTCAGGTTCAAATATAATGGCATCATTTGGTGGAAAACAGTACTGTATTATAAAAATATGAAAGAGAGATATTTTAAACTTTGTTTCAAGCGTCCAAAGGATTTTGTTTGCTAAGAACCAATGCTCACTTATAATTAAAGAATTTGGAAGTTTATGCAGCACTGCAGAGGTCTAAACTTAGTGTCACACTTACACTCACGGCCCTCTTTCTTCTCCTTTTCCTGAGCCACTGTAACTCAGACAGGAAGGACCACTCAGAACTAGATTCAGTCTCTGAAGAAAATAAAATTAACAGAACTTACATAATTTAGCATTTATGCAGGAGAACATGCAGTTTAAATCCTTGTAAGAATGGAAACTCTTTACAGTGAGATTAATTAATATATCTCTATAACTAAATTAAAGCTGGAAAATTTCAAAAGTTAAAAAGTTTAGTGAAATCCTAAGAACATTCGATAAAACATTTTAGAAATCATTGTGATGTGGACACTTATCCAGCGGGAAATGGACTAAGAATACCTAATTCACAAATATTTGAGGTGAATTGCAAAGCATTCTCTAAAATTCATAACTTTTAAGGATCCCATATCAATAACAATCTATATGAATAGATTTAAAATTACAATTAAAAATGCACTAAAAAGGGACATAAAGAGCCTAAGACCTGACGATACAGTTTTGCTTTTTCTCTTTCATGTGTTGATGACAATCACTAGCATCCAAAAAATATCAGCTGATTAAAGTATTAGTGATGAAACCAACAGCTATTCTCTGCCAGAAGAACCTAAACACAGGTCTTGATAGGTGAAAACATTTCAGTTCAATTTTAACATTTCTGAAATTCAATGTGATGATAATAAACTTGGTATACAGAAGTCAACTTGATAATGGTCATCTTTTTTCTTATTCTTCTAAAAGTTCAGCAGTTTAACATAGGCGCCATTAACCTGAACTTCAAACTATTTACATTACAACTAAAATTATTTTTGTTACTGAAAACATAATGTAACCAATACATACCAACATTCTTCATTTGCTTCGATGTTTGTGTTCCTAAAGTCCTCTGGATGATGTGTGGCCTGCCTGTGCTTTTCTAAATAAAAGAATGTATAAAAACATTTTCAACTTATTAGCAATGCCAAATGAAAAGAAAGATGCACTTATTACAGTAGATTGACATCTTATTTGTTCTTTTCCCTAAAAGGAAATAGTAATATCCACTGACATAAATGTAATATCTTTAAATTGGTGCTATGTATACTTTACCAGGATAACTTCTACGCATTAGATTCTTAGAATATTAATCCAAACATGAAAGCCTGCACAATTCAGTATGATGTACTCTTCAATTGTAGAAGGCCTTATTTGGAGAACTCTCTCATAGTGTACAGGGAGACTTTGGGTTGAAAGAACCCCGGGTAACAATAGAGCAGGTTACAAGCTCCTGATTAACAATGCTGTATCTTTCTCCAGGGCCAGAGGAGGTGAGACAAGTCTCTCATTAGGATTGGTGGTAGGCTTCTTGCCTCTTTATTTCTAATTCTGCCTCATCTACTGACTGGCTGTGTGGTGAATCACTTGGCTGCTCTGCCTCAGTTTCCTAATCTAAAACACGGACAATATTTATTTTATCACCTATATTACAAAAGGTGTCATAAGGATTAATTCATTGATTATAAATATCTTTGAGACCCTCAGAGAGAAGACATTAATAGAGTATGAAGTATTATCTCAAGAATCCAAATTCTACTCTCTGCATACATACATATACCTAGATACAGTCTTACTGCACCTGCTCAAAAATAAAGATATGCCTATTATAAATCACAAAGACAAGCTACTTAATTGTACTGAAACTCAACAGAAAGAACAGTAAGATTTATGTCTCTTTCAACATAATTAATGCACAGTGCCGTAAATCTATATATAGGACAAAAAAGAATAAATATATTGAAGTTTTCTCCTTTTAAAATGATAAATTTCAAAGTATCACAGTTTGATATGTGCTCCATGGATCTCTGTCTCCTCTCCCTTGTCATTCCATCACCTGATCTTGTCAAATAATGCTTTTGAAAAGACAGAATGCTATTTTTGTGCAACTCCTGAGAGATTTGTGTAAAACATGGAAGTAAAATATTCAAAAATTCAAACTGCACATGTACAGTAAATACAACTTAGTTTCATATACTGCCTTCCATTCCTAAGGTATCCGAAAGGACTTAAGCAACCAAACAATGAAATCATCGTTCGCAATCAGATAACTGGTGTGGACATCTATCTCAGGTATTATGCACAAAGCGGGAGATCAGGTGCCTAACTTGCACTGACTTTCAAGTTGGGTGCCTCACTGCCATTTATGGCTCTGAAAATCTCCCTATAGACATTTTATTTTGGTCAATAGAAGAAAGCAGTTTTATTGAGAACAATACTCTTGTCCAAAACTATCCTCTATGCTCTTTAAAACTTCCACCTGGACACACAGAGGTGGCAGAGGAGATATTTTAAAATCTTCCATAAATTACAGTGATTGTACAAAGTCTAAAAATAACCCTAATTATTTCTTTCCATTGCCTCAAGCTCTGTACTACAGTGTCAGCATGAAGAGTGAAATTCTACTGTCCTAGGAGAATAATCTCCCAATTGTCTGTCTCCTAATTAAGGAGAGGTTACCAGATCCACAATGGTGAACATATGGTCAGTTTTCAAAAGGGTGACCAGATGTCCCGATCTTATAGGAACAGTTCCGATATTTGGGGCTTTTTCTTGTATAGGCTCCTATTACCCCCCACTCCCTGTCCTGATTTTTCACACTTGCTATCTGGTCACCCTAGTTTTCAACCAATAGCCAGTGTCATATATAGGTTACATTTAAGTACAGTATGTAGCTTTGTAACAAGGAGCCTTGCTCCAGCTGCCACACTGAATGGTTCCTAAATTATTTTCCAATGGACTATCTGTGACATTGCAATCCATATGATTTTATGAAATATGCTAATGAATGTGACTATAATGTAACTGGAATATGCTTCATGCAAAAGGCCTCCTGTAAGGTATCATTACAAAGCTTATAATCTACTGAGTGTGGTCATCCTGTTTGTATAACTGTATCATTCTTGGATCTGAAACTAGAAATATGAAATATAACTCTGAGGTCCTATTGTAATTATGCAAAGTGTGGGCCATTAATGGTGGTTTGGAATCTTGATGGCTCCCATCAACTAGGACAACTGGTTGTAAATGGCTCTGTTTACTTGCAAGCCTTCCTGTGAGTCAGGCCAGGAAGAATGAAGGCTTGGGGTCTCACAGGACATGTGACCATGTCACCTTGTACTGGAATCCATCTTAAACCTGGGGCTTTTCCATTTAGACAGTGGGGTGGGGACCCAGAGAGACAAAAGATTCCCGTCTTGTGCCAAAGCTATATAAGGGGGTGGAACAGAACAAAGGAGGCTGCAGTCATGAGAAATCCCCTAGTTACCACCTGAGCTGGAACAAGGACTGTACCAGAGGAAAGGATTGGGCCCAGACTAGGAAGGAGTCCAGTCTGTGAAAGAAACTTATTGAAACATCTCTGAGGGTGAGATTTTATCTGTAATCAGTTTCTTAATGTATTAGGCTTAGACTTGCATGTTTTTGTTTTATTTTGCTTGGTAACTTACTTTGTTCTGTCTGTTATTACTTGGAACCACTTAAATTCTACTTGTTATACTTAATAAATCACTTTTGCTTATTATTGAACCCAGAGTTAGTGACTAATACCTGGGGGAGCAAACAGCTGTGCATCTCTCTCTATCAGTGTTATAGAGGGCAAACAATTTATGAGTTTACCCTGTATAAGCTTTATACAGAGTAAAATGGATTTATTTGGGGTTTGGATCCCATTGGGAGCTGGGTGTCTGGGTGTTGGAGACAAGAACACTTGTTAAGCTGTTTTCAATTAATTCTGCAGCTTCTGGGGGACGTGGTTCAGACCTGGGTCTGTGTTTGCAGAAGGCTAACATGTCTGGCTCAGCAAGACAGGGTACTGAAGTCCCAAGCTGGCAGGGAAAACGGGCTCAGAGGTAGTCTTAGCACATCAGGTGGCAGTCCCAACGGGGTTTCTGTGACCCAACTCGTCACACTATCATTCTAACTAGGATTAACATTACCTGAAGCATCTTTACTTATCACACAAAGACTAACAATCTTGCAGTTCCTTTGCGGGACTCTGTTGTCATGTTTACTATTACCAAGAGAGGTTTTAAAAGAAACCAGTTAGAATTACAGCACTTTGTGTAATTTATCGTGCACTGATGAGGTGCCAGGCAAGATACGAAGCCTGAAAATCCTCATCTTGATGTCTCTTGGATACCCAAAACCCCAAAATGTCTCTTGGAAATCAAATGCAAGTGCAGAAGTATCCCACAGGAGAAACATTCCTGGTCTATTGTGCTGAAATTTGTAAACTAGCCTTTGAAGTATAGTCAGCTCTGTTTACATCAATGCCTTCAGGAGCAACAGTACAAACATACTATACTTAAAGAGAGCCACAAGTTAAGTAGAACAGGTTCAGAATGTGAATAAGATATTTGGGTAAATATATTCCTAAACCCTGATCCAATTTATTCATCTATTTGTATCAGAGCCATTACATACAGGCACTACAGTCCTCTGTGATAACTACCCAGCTGCGGCACTCTGTATGGAGTGCCTGACCTCAGCTCCAAAACATAGGTTTTCACCAAGTCAGTGAAAGGATCAAATTCACTAGCTCAGACAGTAGAGGAAATTGGTAAACACTTTTATAGTCTACAAATCATTCACCATGGGAATAAGCCTTTAGAAGCCACCTACATGAATGGCCTATTCCCAAATCTAAAGTGAATTTAAGATTAGAAAATTCAAGTTAAAACATGGAATTAAAAATAAATCTTTAATAATTCAGATTTGCAAGTTACTTGTGAGAAACATACTGACATTTAGGCATCCCTGTAACAAACAAAACCAAAAAAATTACAAATCAGTATAAACTTACTGCACTGTGGGTCAGATCCATTGGTTCTATGAAGTACACATAGGTGCTATCTTCAAACATGCCACTGGAACATTAGAAAGAAAAAGGAAGAGATTTAGGACCAATACAAGTACTAAGGAATAATTTTAATCCAACAAATGGTCTTTGGTCAAATAAATCCAATTGTACTATTTAAAACTAGTGAACAAGCCATCATAAAAAATTCCAGTGGTAACTGGCAAAATATAGTAGTGATGCACATCTGCAAAATCAATTTTGTGCTAGACAGGATCCTTGGTAATGGAATACTTGACACAACAATGGAAAGAGTCAAGATCTGATCTTGGTCGTTCCTAAAACACCAATTAATATGCAGAAGACAACAAACACAGCTGAGTTATATACACATAATCAACAAAGAGCTACTGGCCATATACTATCTTACATTATTTATTTACATCAAAAATAATAATCAAAAGACTAATTTTTCAAAATTATAATTCCTGGTATGACTGTACTGGAATCATAGTAATGCAGGGTTTCTCAAACTTCATTGCACCGTGACCCCTTTATGACAACAAAAATTACTGCACGACCCCATAAAGGGGGACCAAAGCCCAAGCCCCACGGCCTCAGGCAGGGGGGCCAAAGCCCAAGCCCCACTACCTGGGGTAGGGGGACCAAAGCTTGAGGGCTTCAGCCCCACTACCCAGCGATGAAGCCCTTGTGCTTTGGCTTCAGCCCTGAGTGGTAGGGCTCTGACTTTGGCTTCAGCCCCAGGCCCAACAAGTCCAACGCCAGCCCTGGCAACCCCATTAAAACGGGGTTATGACCCACTTTGGAGTCCCAACCCACAGTTTGAGAACTGTTGTAGTAATGTGAAGAGCTGAAGTCTGATTTTTGTTCATATTTCTGATCTCTTATTTGTTTTAATCAGCCACCTTGATTAATTTATTTCTAGGTATTTACAATCTGCAAGGGTTTCGCTAGACAGCACCAAAAATTTCTAGTATCCCTGGTGCTTAAAAAATTAATTAATAGCAGTGGTTAAAGCCAAGTATACAGAAGGTAGGCTCTGTACTATACAAGCTTCCCCACTTTGTCTTGCCAATGCACCTCACTCCTGACACAGAACATTTCTACTATTCCAGTCCTGAACCTGTCTTGAGGAAGAAACTGCAGAACACTGAAGAACTAAAGGGAATAGAAAAAAAAATCAGAAGATACAGAGAAGCTATCAATCAAAAGCTAAAATCCATAGACAGGGCGGAGGATATAAGCAGTTTAAAAAACTGCAATGCCAATGAGAAACTCCTTAGCTGAGCATGGTCAGCAAGGCGTTCACAGAGAATACTCTAGAGGAGTCATTGAGATACTAGCCACTATTCTTGAAACAAGACTGGTATGCCTGTACCTCAGGATGCCAAAAATCTTTGAAAGCTTGGAGAATTTCAGTCTGTCTCATGCCAAGAGATGAGACCCAAGGACAGGAATCCAAGAGTAGCAAGCAGTTAATATAGTCTCTTTGGAGGAATGAAGATTTGCACTCACTTAAGTCCATTACATGTTGAAAGGGCAGCTTTGGAGTTTTGGACACCTCTGATGTTTCCATGATAGTAACAGTGCTCTCCACCCTAAAGATGTTAAAGAAAAAAATAAATACATTAAATTATCATTTAATTATCATTTAATTCTAACTGAAAAATTGATCCTACACACCAAGTGAAGAAATTTAGAGGAAAGAGTCCGTTACATTAACAACCACTGAGTCTCCTCATCACTAATAAGGGGGGAAAATATACTGTGCCTAGACAAAAGTACATTACTTATTTATATCTGGCTTCCAGCCATAGCAAAGGTTGGTCTTTCCTTACTTAAACTCACAATGCCATTAATTATTTTGTTTCCTTAAAGAGCAATTTCCCTTTCAGAAATTATTCTTTAGATGTGGTATTATGGGGGTCCATATTTATGATTTCTCAGTGATGGCCAGATCAAAACTGTTGAAATTACAAGTCCTTTTTTTTTTTTTTTTTTAAACAGTAACCCACATCAGCTCTGCCTGGAATCTGAAAGTCAAATTTAAGGTTGTCTTGTTAAAAAGTCTTCAAGAATGAAACTTTATATAATGGGAACTTTAATTAAACAATATGGTTGTTGATGCATGACTAAGGAAGAAAATCCAGCTCAAAAACTCAGAACTGTATTGTCTCTACTATGCAAACTGAGGTAAACACAAGTAAAAACTTGATTTTGACATATTAAAAGACGTGATTGTAAAACAAACAAGGAGCAGATCATTTGACTAAGAAGATGATATTTGTACATATCAGTAGACCATACTGAGACAAAACCCAGACCTTAAATAAAATATATTAGTAAAGAGACACAAGTATGTTGGGCACTTCATAGACAGATATGAATGCAAAGTCCATGCCTCAGAGAACTTACAGAGTAAATAGTTAACCTTCCCACACGAGGGGAAGCAAGAAGCAAGACAAGAAATGACTATATGAGCTTCATCCACAACAAATTTGTTCTGTTCTCCTTCAGCTCTGCCATAATCATGGCCAAAACAGCACTATTTCTTCAGTTTCATTGATGAACATGTGCACAGTCTCCATCACCTATTTTGCCACCATCTACTTCCTCTCACATAAACAGAACTTTTTTCCCCATCAGAAAATTTCTGAAATTTTTTTTAGCACTTCCTGATCAGCTCCAATTAGTACACAGTTTTAACTACACTAATACATACTACTATTTCCATAGGAGCACTGCCTCATTCCATGCACAGAATGGTGCTCTGGAAATGAGGCATTTCTACTGTCACTCTTCAAAGACTGGACCCAGGCCTCTTCCATGGCATAACGTATAAAATATGTGGACAGATTGTGCTTGCCCCTAATTTGGGTGCCCAGTGATGGGGAGGATGTAAGAAGTTTCTTCCCAAATTTGCAGGGCCTGAATAAAGGCAAGATAAAATTGAGTAATCTTAGCTGGAAATTAAGACCTTTTATTGTTGGAGAATATCAAATAAACTCAGGGGACAAAAAGAAACCCCACTAGAAGCAGAATGACATAATAAGCAAGAGGGAAATACGGGAGCCAGCAACAGAGATAAAAATAAATGACAGAAATGTTGTCAAAATATTCTTTGGTGTTAAAAAACAGAGTCTCCGTGACAATATATAAATGGTCTTCTTCCTTGTCCCAAATCCTTTCTATTTAATTTCTGTATGCTGTGAAAGTAGAGCAGCACTGTGGTATTAATAAATACTTAATTTTGACTGTAAGTAGTCAAGTCTTTGAAAAGAAAAATTAAAACCTTTAGAGTACCCTATGGATTCTATACTTTAGGCAACTGCCAAAATACCAACACATTACTAGAACAAAATCTATATCCCTTATCTATAGTCTGATAGGCTTAAAATCTAATTCTATCCTTATTACTGAATAGCAAAATTACTAATCCCTAAATTACAGTGAGCCACGCGAGTCATTTTTTGATGGGACTGCTAGAGGCTTAAGAGACTGTTCATTGTGAATAAGGGTGGCAGAATTTAATTTCATGTGAATAGTTCAATTCAGTAAACAAGTACAGTGCACTTGATTTTTATTATTAGAAGGCTGGCAGCAAGAGCAAACCTAGAAACCATTCAGGCCTTATATACTTACATTGAAAACATTAGTCTCAATTTAAATTTTTAAAGAGAGTGAACATGTAAGAGAAAGTGCTGAAGAATTTAGAAGCTTTCAAAGCCAGCTCCTCAGCTAATGCATGTCAATGTAGTTCCACTAAAGGCAATGGATTCATGCTGATCTATATCGTTAAGAACCTGGCCTTTAATATCTGTCAATAACAATCCTAGCTAAAATCAAAAAAGTGAAAAAAAAGTGCTTGCAATAGTTTTATTGAGAAAAGTGTAAATACAGTGCAGTCACACTGCTTCTTCCAATTGTTCTAACCTACCATGTACCCTAAGGAATCACCAGGCATATAATACTTTTTAGTGAACTGTAAACAGCAGCAGCAATTTGTATCTTGTTTATTTTATGAAATGTTCTGTTCAGAATCTGGAACAAGTATAGCACAACCTTTACTGTGCACAATTAAGTTCATGTATTCTAATAAAATTAAGTAAATAACCATTGTTACACGACAGTTACCCATATATGCGTTATGCACTGGCCTGTATTCTGGAGTTTATGGAACTAGGCTTATTTAAACAGTTCTTCCTAAGAGCTAAATTGTGATTATTTTACTAACACAAGTAGTTTCAAGAAATTTAATAAGATTACTCATCGGAGTGAGGAGATCACAATTTGGTCCTGGTTATTTTCACCCCTATAATAAAGCTATATACTGTAGTTCTAGAAAGAGATGGTTTCATCGAGATTTCACTTCTCTACAGTCAACGAGAAATAAACAGTTTGCCATTCGTCAAATATATCTACATAAGACTGAGCAGATTAAAAAATCCCTAAAGAAGTATATTTTCTTTACTGCTGTTAATTATGCCTCTTGTGGACCATGTGACCTCAAGAGCACTATTAATGTTTCTAAGTCAATCAACTCAGAAAATATCCTTCAGAAAGTTTGGATCTAATTACTGCAGCATGCAAAGGTGGCCCATTTGCTGAGTCTAAAGTTCTAATATAATCCTCCAGTTAGACTCATGATTCAGCAACCGCAGTGCTCACTGCTGGTGCTGCAGCTGACAGTTGTTCAAGTCTATGTAAAAGCCAGAAGGGATTGTTTTCTTGCTTCCTTTAGCATTTTTGCCTGCTCTCCTGAGTAATGTCTTAACAAAACTAAGCAAATCCCTTGATATACTGCATGAAATTATTTTTTCCAACGAACAGAGTATAAATTGATACATGAGACTAAAAGCTACTATATTTGAACTCTACTTAAGATCCCCAATGAGGAGGTCAGATTAAGCAAACGGACATACAGCAACTGGACAAATAGCAACCACATAAAGGATGAAATTCACCCTGGTTTTGAGGGCGTAAAAGTAAGATTCACATGTTGTGCTATCCTTCTGGCCCTCTGAACAGAGACAAGTTTCATGAATAGTGACTTGCAACTTCTACTATACTCTGGCATTTATAGCGATTTTAAAAGTCTAAGAGCTCAGTTAACTTAAACAAAGACATTCTTGCCTTAACGTTTATTTTATATCCGTCCTTTCTCTCTGCTATTCCACATCCCAGTAATATAGTAATCATCCCTTGTGCTATCTAAATCAAACAAAAACATACCTATTTTTGTTCCCCTGTCTCCTCAAAAGACTAGGTCATGCAATCCTCTCTCTCAGGGGCGAAATTTATCTCTGTCCAAAGCCTATGCACTGCTTAAATTCTACTTTAGCTCTAATTTGAGAACTTAAGTGGTGCATAGGCTTTCTGCTGACATTCTGAAGAGGGGTGAATTTCACTCCGTATTTTTTTTTTCTGATTCGTGGTTTTATAAAAACTCTTGCAAAGAAAAGCCATTGCAAGTGTGTTTACTGACTTCCCATTACAACTTAGCCTTGCGCTTTATGCGAAGTGTTATGTTTATGCGAATTAAATGTTTAATGAAGAATTTAGTGATTGTGTCCTCTAGTGTGGGAGCAACTGAAAAAATTATAGTTTAGAAACTGTAGCTTTCATCTTTGGCACTTTCATTTGCAGCTAATTGCCCACACATATTACAATTTTTCTCCTGTCATCTGCTGAATAATCTTCATCAACTAGACGAGATCACAATTCCTTGATATATGTGGTAAATGCCTTTTGGTATTTGATAAATATTGTAAACAACACAGAAAGTTTGTGTTTTACTGCATTATCATTGTATGGGGGGAGGAGAGAATAAGTCTCTCTTATTTAATATATATAGTACCTTAGAAAATTGTGGTTTTCCATCTTCATAGTGAATCTCCACATAATCAGAGGATAACAAATCACTGTAAAAAAACAAAAAAGAAACATTTTGTATGGTATTTCTTAAAAACAGAAACAAAAAATGTAGATGTAATCACTGTAATTTTATCATTTTAGCTGAAATCCTTGAATCATTTTTTTCTAACCTAGTAAATTAAAAGAATCAAGAAAGCTGTCTCCAGAAAATGGCTTGCTGTTGCATTTTGAGGCAAGAAAGACTTTAGACTTTGGGGAATTTGACTCACTGGCTGAATTTCCATTATGTTAGTCTTACATTAGTATGATTTAATTTGCTTTTAATGTATACAGTAATTAAAATGAATATAAATTGACTCTATGAGTTTTGTTTCCACTGGATCTAACTGACCAATGTATGGTTAGTTTCATTATTGTTTTCAAATAAGTATTATATTTATTATTCATATCAAAGTAACACACAGACACAGTGCCTGTCCCAAGAGCTTGAAGTCTATAGAGAGAAAAAACATATTATTGATTATCTATTAACCTTAATCACCCCTCTTCCTATCTATTATATTAGTTCTTTACTCAATCTTCATCTACAAACTCAAACTATTTTAGTAACACTTTTAACATTTCTTTTCAAAGCCTCTAATATCCTGGCAGGACTCAACTCAACTCAATCTCACCCTTTATCCTTCCCACACTTCCTTGCCTGAAAACTCCTTCTCCCTCTGCAAAAGTCCCCATTCTGTCAAAGAGATGAGGAAAAAAAAATAAAACACAGCCCTAATACTAGAGGGGATCGTGGGTATAGTGGAAACATGCTGGCTACTCCGACAGCTGAAGACTCAGCACTTGGGTGCCAGAGGGCTGGCTCCACTCATGGAAAGAGGGGCTTCTGCTTCATGTAGTGTTTGGGGGAGTGGGAGTGGCAGTGGTCCTGGTGTTCCCAGACTGCCTGCTGCCACTGCCCAGCAGATAAGCAGGGAACCATAAATGGGTATTCTATCCCCACTAGCCTTTGTCTCGGTCTCTACATATCTGGGACCATTTCAATGCCCCAACCACAATGAGTTAGAGCTCAATCCAACAAGACTTTGGGCACTTTGGCTCTGATAAAGTAAAGCACTTAAACATATGTTTATAGCACTTCTCACATGCTCAGTTATGCAAATTATGTGAAACAGTGCATCATATTGATGGACAGCATCCTGATCATCTTGCACTGTTTCCCAGTGCTAGCATCTCCCCAATGCCTGGCACATGTTCCCGCCTCACTGTGCCAGCCAACACAGGCAAACAGCCTATCTGAGTAGTGTATCTTACTAGTGCTGGAGGGACATCAATATGCACTGCAACCTTTTTGAATCACTATGGAGAGGCTTAAACATAACTGTCTCTAGCGGTTTGTGGTCTGATTGTACTATTTTACAGGGTGACCATATTGGTAGAATCACTCTACCCCAACACCGCAGCCAATAATTCTTTTTCTAATTGGATGTACCCTTGTTCAGTTTCTATCAAAACTCTACTGGTGTATGCAATCAGCAGCTTCTGCAACAGAGCTACCCTCAGTCCCTTCTTGGATGTATCACATTGTAGTGTCATTTGTTCTCCAAACTGGTAGTATTTTAACTTAGGGCATCTGTAATAAGTTTTTGCTTTCTTTCAAATGCTTGCTGTTATGGCACTGACCAGTCGCATTCCACATTCTGCCTTGAACGTTGATCTATGGGCTCTGTCACTGCTGCCAAATGAGGACAGAATTTAGATAGGAAGTTTAATTACTACTCTCAGTTACGTGAGGGTGAGGCAGGTACTTGATCCAAATATAGAGCAAGACCAAAAGGTGCCCCTTACTCCATCTGCCTCTCCTAAGCACAGCTCACTGGAATGCAGAATCTGGTCATCGTCTGGGCCTACTGGCCAGAGCACTCTCTTCGCACAGGATACATATGCAAAGGCTTATAAATTCAGTTTGTAGTGTCTCAGAAACGTAATAAATGAGGCCCAAACTGCAACTCTGCAGATTTTCTCTACCAAAGAATGTGTCCATTGCAGATGTTTTGGATCTGGGCAACATGACGGGAAGACACATTCTTGGCAAGTATGAAAGGACCTTGAATATTAAGCCAGGGAGTATTATCTTTTCATCATGTAATACACAGAGTACTGTTCTTCACATATTCTACTAGCAGAGGTGGTGATGACTATGAAACAGATTTTGTTACAAAGAAAATAATGGATCTATTGAATTCTAGGGCTCAACAGGAAGAGCAGTATATGCCTGAATCACATGATTCAGGCCCCATCCAAGAAAGATCAAGACATGATTCCTAATCCTGAAAGACTCATCCTCCTTTAGTGCCATGAATAGAATGTAAATGCTTCATATCCTACAGTAGAACCTCAGAGTTACAAACAACAGAGTTACAAACTGACCAGTCAACCACACACCTCATTTGGAACTGGAAGTACGCAATTAGGCAGCAGCAGAGACAAAAACAAACAAACAAAAAATCAACCAAATACAGTATACAGTTAAACATAAACTACTAAAAAAAAGGGGGGGGGGAGCAGCATTTTTCTTCTGCAAAGTAAAGTTTCAAAACTGCATTGAGTTAATGTTCAGTTGTAAACATTTCAAAGAACAACCATAACATTTTGTTCAGAGTTATGAACATTTCAGAGTTATGAACAACCACCATTCCCGAGGTGGTCGTAACTCTGAGGTTCTACTCTGTACTCTGAAAGGCCAGAAGGGCTGTCCTCAATGCTAAGAAATGTACGTGTTTCCTATCTAAGCTGGACCAAGTTCCCTCAGCTATAAGGTATTCCTGATCACATCCATTTTGGTGATTTTTTTATTTGGAATAGTGAATTCTGTCTTTACAGTCAGACTGGATGTCTAGAACTACCATTTAATGGAATATCAAACTGTTGGGAACCCAAACCTTCCCATTCATTACATTTGGAGAGTGATTCTAGACCTGGAGCATAAACCTCATCAGTTTCCTCATATGTAAACTGATCTCAGGAAGTAATCCTGTGCACAAGACTATGAGACTTGCCATTTGGAAAGCCAGCCTAATGGGAAGTGCTCCTGAAGCTTTGGTTGATTCAAGTGTGAATCTTGTTGATTGTCTTCTCTGTGTCATGATCCACAGGCCTTGAACCCAAGTCCGCAAGGTTCACAGGAGCAGCCATGCTCCAACCCTTCACTTGGCCTGACTACTGCTTACCCAGGACCCAGAGGAGCCTTCTGTGGCTCATTCGAATGGGCCCTCCACCTCTAGGCAGATAATCAATCACTGCAGGCCCAAGCTGCACAGCTGATGAGGGAAACCAGCAGCAGCAGGAGCAAGTGAAGCAGCTTAGTGCTGAGAGTGCTGTGCTGCAAGCACCACCTGCAGTGCCCTGCCCTGAACAGGAGCCTGAGAAACCCTTGCCTGAAAGGTTCGATGGGAACTGCTGGTGGTTCTGAGGCTTCATGAACCAATGCCACATTCTGTTCCTGATTTATACCTCTGACCAGTTCAAGGTGACCTTAGTAATCAGCCTACTGACAGGAGACATTTTAGACTGACTCTGCTGGAAGGCCATAGCCCAGCCCAGGGCTTTCTTCAGTCGATATCAACCATCTTATATGCCCCACAATAGAAACTGTTGTTGCTTCCTGCCAGGTGTGTGCTCACACCAAGATCCCATTCCAGAAACCCTGAGGAAACACTTTCTCGGTCCTGGGAGGCCATTTCCTTTGATTTTCTGGTGAAACTACCAAAATCCAGTGATTTCATGACCATCCTGACAGTAGTGGATTGCTTTCAGAAAATCGCTCACTTCATTCCCTTGCATGGGATTCCCCTCCACTGGAAAACTGCTCAGCTCCGGATAAACAAAGCAGTCTATCTTCATGGCCTCCCGGATCATTTCATCTCTAGGGCCCTACCATGAAAAAACACATCATGAACAATGAAATCTGGTCTCCCTCATGAAATCTGACTATTGTAGGAGGGTCGCAGTATTGACACCCTTACTTCTGAAGGCAGCACAGAGCTGGGCAGCTGGAGAGCAGTGGTTTCTGGCCAGACGCACAGCTCTAAAGGCAGTGCCACCACTAGCAGCAGCGCAGAAGCAAGGGTGGCATGGTATTGGGGGGGTCATCACTTTTGTGGGGGCATGGCTGGCCTTATGGGTGGGCAACCGCCCAAAGCGCTGTGGTCAGGGGGGTGCTGTGGTAACGCCCCCCTGCACAGCCAGCCCCAGGCTCCTTTAGCCCCCAAGTGCTGAGCCTGGAGCTGGGGACGGAATGGGCTGGGGCACCCCAGCTGGGGGCTCCTTCTGTGCGCTGGGCTCTAGCCGCTAGGGCCACTGAGGCTGGGGAGGGACAGGACTTTCTTTTCCCCTGCACAGGCCGCTCCCGGGGCCAGATTAGACCCACCTCTGGGAACTCCTCCAGCTGCAGGAAGTTTCACGGCTGCTGGCTGGGAGCCCAACTCTGAAGGCAGACTTGCCACTAGCAGAAGCACAGAAGTAAGGATGGCAATACCGTGACCGCCTCCAATTGCCTTGCGATACACATACCCCCACGATCTCCCTTTGGGTCAGGACCCCCACAGTTATAACACAGTGAAATTTCAGATTTAAATATCTGAAAACATGAAATGTACATTTTTTAAAATCCTAGGACTGTGAAATTTACCAAAGTGAACCGTGAATTTGGTAGGGCCCTAGTCATCTCTGATTGGGATCCCTAGTTCACTATCTGCTTCTGGCACAAGGCTCCGTGCCTATTAATTGTCTACATGCACCTGTCCTCTGCCTACCACCCTCAGTTGAATTGCCAAATGGAATGAATCAACCAGATGCCAGAGCAATACCTATGATGCTACACTAACCATCACCAGGATGACTGGTCTTATCAGTATTATCACATGCCAAGTTCTCATATAATAATGCAGACCACGCATCCACAGGCCACAGCCCCTTCTTTGTCAACTATAGGTACCGCCCTCAATTTCATCCACAATTACCGACCTCCTTCCCTAATCCATCAGCC